GGGCGCCATATTGCCAGGGTGTGTCCCTGTTCAGGCGCCCATGGGGTCCCTACACCTACAGTCACTCATCATAGACATGCTTGCATTCTCTTGCAAAGTGTCATGAGAACCTTTTTGGTATTTTGATGGGAATGACATTACATTTGTTGATTAAATTATAGTAATTCACATCTTTGTGATTAAAAATCTTTTAAAAAATTGTTTTCTAATTGACAAATACAAATTGTATATTTCATGGTATACAATATGACGTTTTGTAATATGTATATATTGTAGAATGGCTAAGTCAAGCTAATTAATATATTTATTACTTCACATATTTATCATTTATTTGTGATCCAACTTACTCCTTCTGTCTAACTGAAATTTTATACCCTTTGACCGACATCTCCCTGCTGTCCCTCCCGCCTCCCAGCCTCTGGTAACCACCATTTTACTCTCTGTCTCTATGACTTCGATTGTTTTAGATTCCGCTTTTCGGTGAGATCATGCGGTGTTTGTCTTTCTGTGCCTGGCTTATTTCACTTGACTTAATATCTTCTAGGTTCATCCATGTTGTTGCAAATGACAGAATTTCCTTCTTTTTTAAAGACTGAATAGTATTTCTTAGTGTATATATATCACATTTTCTTTATCCGTTCATGCATTGATGGTGACTGTGCATCTTAACATCCATGGATAAATTATAGCTCCTTATCTATTTATGTCTTTTTTTTTGTATTCTTCAGTATTTTTATTATTTTCTTCATGGTATAGGTACAACTTAATTTTTTGTTTTTGTTTCCATTGTTAATGGGATCACTTTTCTCCTACTGTGTTTTCAAATTGGCTACTGCTAGTGTATAGAACACTATTGATGTTGTATTCTGTAACCATACTGAACTCTCTTCTTCTGAAATTTGGAGTCCTTTGAATTTTAAAAATTTTATTATAATTTACTTTTTTGTTTGATGGCTGGCCAGTATGGGGATCCAAACCCTTGACCTTGGTGTTATAACACACCTTGTTCTTACCAACTGAGCCAACTAGCCAGCCCTATAATTTATTTTGGGATAGATAATCTATTTACATGGTTCCAAATTTTAAAAGTTCACTCAAATCACAATCTTCCTGTTCTCTCTTTACCTCAGCCATGCAATCCTCCTCCCTAGAGTCAACCAATCTAATCTTCTTGTTCATAATTCTCCAGAGGAATTCCATTAAAACATAAGCAGAAATGTATTTCTTCTGTATGTGTATTCTTTTTTCTTTGTTCTAGAAATGGTTTCATAGTGTACTATCCTATAACTTGCTTTTTTTCCCACTTAACAGTGTATCTTGAATATACATCATTATTTCAGGTACTAGTATATGTATAATTTAAATTCCGAGAACAAAGTATTGGGTCAAGATTATGTACATGTGTAAATTGGATATTGTAAAATTGTGTTTTCACAGAGGTTACACCTATTAACATCAGAATATGGACGTGCCTATTTCCCCCCCACATTTTCTTGCTCAGTGTGTTATCAAACTTTTGGATCATTGCACAATTGATAGGCAAAATAAAAATGACATTTCAGGCTAGTTTTAATTAGCATGTTTTTGATGAGTGAGGTTGTCTTTCCATATGCTAAAGAGCCATCTTTATTTCCTCCTTCAAGAATAATTTATTCATAGCCTTAGCCATTTTAAAAATTAAGGTGTTAACATTATATTGATTTTGGGAACTTTTTGCATTTTAGGGAAATTAGTCTTTTATCTGTAATATGATGCAAGAATATTTTCCCCAGTTTTTTGTTTGCCTTTTGATTTTGTTTATAGTGGCTGTGGCATGTAGACATTTTTAATTTTTATCTAGTTAGATTTATCAATTATTTTATAAGAAATGATCCTATGATTTAAAGTACTTTTATGATTTAATTTTCTATATAGTTAAGTATTTTATTCATATTACACTGCAAAGTGTGGATCCACCTTTATTTTTTCTCCCAAATAATTCCTCACTTATTCCAACATCATTTATTGAAAATTTTTATTTTTGCTACAAACTTGAAATGCTACTTTTATGATATACTACGTTTTAATATGTATTTGCATCCAATTCTCATTCTTTCTAGTCTAATTATTGTGTTATAAACATATTGTTTACAATATGGTTTATTATTTTGGGGAGCTAACTCCCCTAAATATACATCATCATTTCAGATACTAGTAAATTCTCCTTTTTCAGAATTTTCCTGGCTAGCCTTGCTTGTTTATTTTTCCATATGAACATTAGAATCAGCTTTTCTAGCAAAGGAAGAAGGAAAGGAGGAGAGAGTTTTCTCAGCCTCCTTTGTACTAGTAGAATTTTGGAGTCCCCTGGCCTTTTGTCATTTTGTATTGTCTCTGTCCCTTTCAGTCCAACCTGGTTCTGTTTCTGCCTGTATATTTCTTTCAAAAATGTTATGGCCAATGTCCGACGGGTAAAAGAAATTTGCCCACGAGAACTGGGTGATAGGAAAAGGAAAAGAGTTTATTTCTGGCAGCCAGGGCTATACAAGCCAATCGGGGAGCGCAGCCCTGAGTTGAAACCTCTCGCAGCTTTTATTTTTAGGTAGGTGGGAATTTTTCGCACCTGACACAATCTAGCCAATGCAAGCAAGCCAGCGATACATAAGCTAATTTTGTGGTTAGCCGTGTAGCCCCTCCCCACCCTGGATTCCCCATAGGGACTTTCCAGGCTAAAATGGCAGAGCCGCCTAAAATGGCGTTGGCCATGCTACTCTGTTTATTCCCCCATTTATTTTAGCAAGCGACTTGTACAGAAGCAGAATGCATATGTTAAGGTCAGTAGGGGTTGGGGTGGCCCTTAACAAAAATATTTTAGGTCTCTGCAATTCTTTCTGGAATTCCCTTCATTAGACAGAAGCCAGACCCACAAATCTTTTTAAGAGATAAGCACTTCTCTGTCTTGGGCTTTTGCTTGAGACTGCTGAGAGACAACCACCTTAAGCTTCCTGGAAACCCTATTGTTGGAGAATAATTTTGAGACTCATCCATGTTGTTGCATATATTGATAATTCATTGTTTTTTTACTGCTAAAAAAAAGATAGCTGAGCATGGTAGGTGAATGTTCAAGTTTTTAAGAAATTGCCAAACTGTTTTCCAAAGTGGTTATGTAAGAAAATAGCCTAAGTGATTGATTTTTCAGGAATAGCTTAACTGCCTAAACCTGCTCCCAGAGAGTTCCTGAACAGAGGTCAGAAACAGCATGTCACCCTTGAGAAATGACTTCTCAAGATGGTGGCTAGTCACCAGCCCCTTGTTCTCTTTACTTCCTGGTTCTTCTCCCTTCTCAGGACTTTTGGTGAGCCTTTTTCTGCA